AAGTATCAGTATGTTCCTAAATCTGTATATTGAAATACATGAAATTTGTATACCTTAAATAAAATTTTAAAAAAAGTGTGGTTGTGCCAAAATGTTAATGAAGTTTGTAAGAGACACACTTGTGAGTATATACTAAATTGTAGGAGACTTCAGGTTTATGAAACCTATCCAAATGGTGGGAATTTCTAAACGAAATATTTTCCCAAGTCACTGGGACTTAGTAACATAAAGCACTGCCTTTCTTCTCTGTTATATAATTCCTATAAATTTAATAGATAGGCATCTATTCTATAAATAAAACAATCAAATAAAATAGAGGGATTATTTAATAAAGTTCTTGAAAATTCTAGAAAGAGACATTAAGATATCAACATTATGTTTGGTTTGAGGAACAACTATAGTTCCAGAACTACTTAGGAGAAATGTCTCCAGGCATGTAACAAATCAATCTGAGTAGATGCTATAAGAATCCAGATGGATCATTCTCATATTGTTAGGTATCTTTGTTTTGAATGTACATACAAAGGTCAGATCATATTTTAGAGAGGTTTTATTAACAACATGGCCCACACCAAAAACCCCATTGCTTAGTTAGCCTATATTCAGTATTCAAGAGTTATTCTCCTTGCTTCAGAGAAGTTACAGCCTCAGCAAAGTCAAAGCACCTCCAGAGGTCCTATTACAATCACCTGTAAGTCTTATAATATTATGTGAAAATATTCTTATTACTAAGTAACATACCAACCTTTTGCTGTAGGTTGTTTAACTAATTATGAATATACTCTCCCAATGAAAAACAATCTCATGATAGTATTTCTGTAGCTTGATAAATATGCATGTCCTCAACAGACCTTTTGGATACTACATGCAGTGCAAATCCTGATTTAAGTGTTTAATGACGATTTTTACCCTAAAAATGGTAAGAGACAATACCAGACTGGGATATGCAATAATTAGTCTCCTGGAGAATTTAACTTTGTATTAGAATCCAATTGGCTGAAGTAGCCCAATCTGTGGCTCTCTCTAGGGCATGTCAAATTGCTAAAATTAACAGCTAAAGTAATGCAATTACACTGTTTTGGAGTAATCACTTCTGAGTGCTTTGATGCTTTCCCCAAAAATTTCTGTCATAAAGACTGAGGCCCACAGTAAAAGAGGTGCTATTACAAAAGCTACAGAAAATGCCTTAGCAGACAGCCATGCAGATCATTCAACAGTTCAACAAGCTGTGAATTACAGCAAAGTGATATATTACATTGAACAGCATGTTACACCAGAGAAATGCATATTTTTGACAAGATTATGTCTAGAAACAGAAGAATTTCCTTAAAAATAAAATGAAAATCATTTAAGTATCAGGCAAAACAGAATTTTGCAATAATTGAGAAATGGCTCTAAAGCAACTTGAAATTATTTATGTATTACATTCCATAGTTTTAGAGCAATCAATATATAGTATAAAAATCATCCACTAATAATAGTAATACTGATCAAATCACAGTAAGTAACTTGTTTCATGTTCAGCTTTCATTTCACGAAAGACAGAGCAGCAAGGTGTAACACACGACAAATCCTCAAAGAAGCTCTGCCTTTTATCTTACATTAAAATTTGGGAAAAAGGTAAAAAATGGAACTTACATTCATCTCGGAACCTGGGTTCTGCGTTAGGGCCCACTCTACCGAATGTTTTTATGATCTCTGTGTGCAGAGAATGCTGGTCTTGATATTGAGGGTCTTCCAGGAATGAAGCCAATTGCATTTTCACTCTTTCCAGCAACTTAAAATTGGATATTACATAGTCATGTTATAGAATATTAAAAACTGAGTAAATTGCTAAAAGGCACATATTAAACATAGCTTATAGCAGATTTGAATAATTTATAGCCCTATGACAGTAGAAATCTGGAATTACATGAGGGTTTTTTAGTCTTTTTTTGCATTGAAAAGGTCTCAGACTTTTATTTATTCTTATTCATTCTTTAGTTTTGTAAAAACATTCTGACAGATTATTAAAATGAAAAAAAAAATCGAAAAGACTAAGGATAAGGAAATAAGTTTATGATGATTATGTATCTGAATTATAATACCTAAAACAAATCACAGTGTAAGTTACCCAGTTATTCATCTCTGAAAGCAATGAGTCATTAATGACTTGTATGTTACTCACATTTCCCTAAAAGATATTTTTATTTTAGGATTTAAGAATATGTTGAAATTCTGCTAAGATTGCAAGCTTTGCAGAATGTATGCTTTTTTTGTTGATGTTGCTCCACCAGTGAAATATATAAGTTAAAAAATGAAAAACATTTCTACCACAAACCAAACTGTTTAGTTTTTGTTACAAAAGTTTAAGAAAGACATTTCATTAATTTTTTTTTGTTTTAGTGACTTGGTAAGGTGTTCACAATTAATTTATTTTCTAATTTACAGAGTTTTAAAATTTGCATTAGGATATAACCAACATGATATCAAATAAAATTTTGCCATTAATTTCGGGAAGTGTCTTACAGGTAAAGATGCAGATAGAACCTAAAAAATTTGAATCAAAAATTCAGAATCAAAATACATTTTCAGGGAGGAAACTCCTGAAACAGGTGTGACAGGATTTGCACATTGATATAAACTATAACAGATGATTTTTACAGCCTGACACCAACAACACAGTTATCAGAATATAGATATTCCCTTGCTTTCATTTGTAAAACTATGAAAATTGGATGCATTTGTGTTCCTAATGTTATCTGGCAGAATGAGTTGTCAAATCTTGTAAACTGACAATCCAGAATATATATCCATTGACTAGAAGTCTGTTGGATAATATAAGAGTGTGAAACTAGATATGACTTGAAGGATTATTCAGAAGTGCAATATCCAGCTAGGTTATAGTTACTTTTCTAATCTAGAAGAGAGATTAAAGATTTCCTCAATATATGGAAATATACCTTTTCTGGGCTATCATGTTTTGAAATACCAAGGCCCTCCTCTGGAACATCAATAACTAACAATAAAATGAACAATAAAATGAAAGGTACAATGCTTCCTGCCCCCACCACCCTACAGTACATACATAAAAATGAATTTCAATTATTTCCTACCTCTCTTTGAATAACTGTTTCCATAATAGTGCCGAAGGCTGGAATTGTAGCAATCCTGACAGAGCTGTTAAAATTAAAACAGATGGAAACTGAAATTTTTTTGAGATGAAAAATAGAGTATTATTAAAATGTTTATCAAATAAGTATGAGATAAATATACTGTATTAGTCTCTAGCAATGACAAAGTAAATTAAAAAAAAAAAAAAAACAAACAAGCAGACCAAGAATGCTCAAAAGACAGGCAGGATAACTTAAGGTCGCAGTCTGTGAAACTCACAATTCAGGATCACTGGACAAGGTAACAAGGGCCGGAGCAACCCGCTTGTCAACTAACGCTTCACTCATGCCTCGAAGAGTCAGCTGTAAACCAGTCAACATGCAATAAAAAATGGTTTGGTAAACTGGAATGAGAACTGGGTTAGCTGTGACTGAGGATGGGCAGAGGCAGACTCACTGGCCTTTCTTGGTTTAGTCACCCTTATGAGACATTAAAATGTTAAGCCTTTGGTTCATGCCACTACGCTTACTGGTAACAACCTGTTAGTGAGATTAGCAGAGCATCCTTTCTTGGCCTGTTAGAAATAGTCCATCAGCATGCTTCAGGCTTTGGAAATGTTTATTGCGTACTAATGTTGGTATTTTTTTTCAATATATGGTTTCCAAATTTGGCTTATTGTGAGTGCTGACTTAAAAATATGATAAAGTTGAAAATTAAACAATTGAATATTATTATTTTAAAGAGAGTCTTCAGTAAATTTAAAAGCTGATGGTTATTTCTTGACAGGCCATTTTGAAAGGGATGCTGAATGTATAAGGCAGGGACAACACTTACATTTCAGGGTCACTGGAGAGAGTAATGAGAGCAGGAACAACCCTCTGAGCTACCAGAGTTTCATTCACCCCCTTCACCAACAGCTGATTGGTCAGCACAGGGGATATTCACAGGTGATGCATGGAAAGAGCAAACACAGTGCGCCATGGGAAGAAGAAAGGAACAACCAAGAGAAAGAGAGAAAACACAAAAGCAAAAACAAAATTAGAAGCTAAGCAAATATTGCTACTAGAGTGCTTTACAAAGGCAGAGAAGGCTCAGGGGGAAAACAAAGCTTAAATAGCCTAACAGTCCATGAAAATAGATTTTGTCAACAATTCAATAGGAATTTTGTACTTTTGGTCAAATAGTCTATGCAATTTCCATGCCCAATTAAAATGTTACCTGAAAGAAAATTTCACTTTTTTTTAAAGAAGGAGCTAAAAAGAAGACACATTTTGAGTCCAATGGTTAAAATTCTATAGTGTGATTTTATTATGACCAATAAGGTACAAACTGGACTGTTTCAAACCATAGACAAATGGCAAGCAGCCACCATTAAAATGCTCAAGATTGTTGTATAGTAAGTAAACTGAAAAACCACACAGGAAAATTCCCAGCCATTTTGAGACATAAGGCAGCAGCTTACTAGAAAATATTATGCTTAGGAGTCAGACCTGGATTCAGAGTCTAGTTCTTGGCTAATTTGTTAGCCAAACAATCTTAGATACATAATCTCTTTAAGTGTAACTTTCTCATCTGAAAATGGCAAGATTATTTTCTTCCTCAAAGAACCCTCCGGCTATCAACTTGCACATAATATACCTAAATACATGGCTGACAAAAAGTAGCATTCAAGAAATGAGAGCTTAACTATGATGAATATACCAATATATGATTTGTGACATATTGGAAAAAGTTACTTAATTAAATACTTCTTTTGAAGTTAACACCTAAACAGCTGCTTTATAATCCTCTAAAAACTCAAATAAATTTTAAAATAAATGAGTAGAACAAAGTATCTCCATAATCTATTAAAATTTATTTGGTAACCAATGCTAATTTGCAGAAGAAGACAATATTGAATGGGATGCATTTTGTTTTTTTGAGTAATACCAAATTTTATAAGTTCAACAGAGAAAAGGAACTTCATTCTCAACTTTAGAATGTAAGCACAGTCTAATCCTATATGCCAATCAATCCATTTATCTAGTAATGGAACTAGTCCTCGGAGAAGATCAAAGATACCATGAAATGTTTATAAAAAAAACCTATCATTGTATGCATAGTTAAAACATTCTTCTATATAATATATCAGAGAGAGCATGGCTTAGTTTATGTGAAGGCTCTTTGTATTATTACAAATCAATGAGAATAATATGATTTCCTTGATTTCCCTTTTTCTCTGCCATCTGAAAATTAAGCTAAATATGGTATTCAATTTCAGTCAGTATCTCATTTTAGGTTCTTGGTACATCCATTTCTCAGTTGGTTTTGGTCTCTGGGGTAGGCGTTTGGCACAGCAGCTAAGCCACCACTTGGGGCACCTGAATCTCTTATCAGGGTCCTGGTTCTAGTCTCAGCTCTGCTTCACAGTCCAGCTTCCTGCTAATGCAGACGGTGGGAAGCAGCAGATGATGGCTTCCTATCGCCCACTTCGGAGACCTACACCGATTTCCAGACTCTCAGCTTTGGCCTGGCCCAACCCTGGCTCTTGCAGGCATTTGCGGAATGACCTAGCAGATAGAAAATCTCTCGTGTTTCTCTTTCTTTCTCTGTCTTTCAGATAAAATGGAAATGAATCAATAAAAAAATTTTTCTGGTATCATTTAAAAAAATTTTAAGTGTTCTTTTTACATAAAAATAAGACAGGTGTTAATTCTAAATGATAAAGCATTAGAAACTAAAATGTGCAAAAAATCCATGAACCATATTTATTCTTTCAATATAATTTTGTTCAAAATGAGGATCATTGACAAAGAAGAACTTTTCATTTCTCCTACTGATAACTTTTACTGACATGATCAGGGAAATGTCATTGTAAGTGAATTTGAAAAACTATTGAAATAATCTCTCAAACTAGACTCAGAAATTCAAAATCAACCTAAGAAGACACTTAAAACCGCTTAAGGACAGGTATTTTTCCAGAGCAGCATGACAGCAAACACAGAAGCCCAAACCAGACAAAAGCCACACATAAGAAATAAGGCAGAAAACAAAATAAACAAAAACAAAAGGGAGATGCTTCATTTTATTTAAATTATTTTATTTCTATGATATGCTTCACCAGTTCATACAAACATTTTAAAAACAAAGGATCTAAGAGAAAGAAATAGCGTTCATGGTCTTATTACAAAAAGCCAGGAAGAGAGTATATTAAATAGGTGCTGGTGCTGTGGCATACTAGGTTAAGCCTCTGCCTGCAGCCAGCATCCCATGTAGGTGGTGGTTTGTGTCTTGGCTGCTCCTCTTCCAATCCAGTTATCTGCTAATGGCCTGGGAAAGCAGTGGAAGATGGACCAAGTGTTTGGGCCCCTGCATCCGCATGGAAGACCTGGAAGAAGCTCCCGGCTCCTGGCTTCATATTGGTGCAGCTCCAGTCATTGTGAGCCAGTGAATGGAAGACCTCTGTCTCTGTCTCTCCCTCTCTCTATCTGTGACTCTGCCTCAAATAAATAAATACATTTTTTAAGAAAAACTATTATTAAAAAAGAAATAGCTCTTCATTTAAAAGGATGTTTCCCTTTTAGGGAGATACGAGGAAGGAACTGAAGACAGACTTTTCTTTTATGGTAATACCTTCTTTTCAATACATTGAATAAATAAAATTATTTATATCCTAAACCAAACTGCTAATTTGGCATTCATGTTGACAAAGAATTCTTGATTCTAGTTTTTTAAAAAAATCAAATATGTGTAATAACCGAGGGGAAAACACTGACAGAGAATTTTCAACTTTTTGGTAACAATGGAATTTTCTAATTATATATTTAAAATTTTTAGAAGTTACATATCTTTTTTTAAAAGATTTTTTATTTAGTTATTTGAGAGGTAGAGTTATAGACAGTGAGAGGGAAAGGTCTTCCGTGGTTCATTCCTCAAATGGCCGCAATGGCTAGAGCTGTGCTGATTCAAAGCCAGGAGCCAGGAGCTTCTTCCCAGTCTCCCATGTGGGTGCAGGGGCCCAAGGACTTGGGCCATCTTCTACTGCTTTCCCAGGCCATAGCAGAGAGCTGGATAGGAAGAGGAGCAGCCGGGACTAGAACTGGCGCCCATATGAGATGCCGCAGGCAGAGGATTAACCTACTGTGCCACAGCGCCAGCCCCAGAAAGTACATATTTTAAATCTATCAGTGCCCTGCTATTCCAATTATAAATTGTCTTAAAACAGTATGGATAAAAAAATCATGCTGATTTTACATTTATCATAAGCTCTTATGTTCTAGACAGTTTTTTTTTTTTTTTAAGATTTATTTATTTATTCAAAAGGCAGACCTAAAGGCAGAGAGAGGGAGAGATACAGAGAAAGGTCTTCTACATGCTGGTTCACTCATCAAATGGCTTCAATGACCAGAGCTGGGCCAATCAGAAGCCAGGAGCCAGGAGCTTCTTCCAGGTCTCCCACACAGGTAGAGGGGCCCAAGCGCTTGAGCCATCTTCTACTGCTTTCCCACGCCATAAGCAGAGATGGATCAGAAGAGGAGCAGCAAGGACATAAACTGGCTCCCATATGGGATACTGGCGCCAAAGGCAGAGGCTTAGCCCATTATATCACAGCACCAGCCCCTAGATAGAGTGTGAAAAGCTTTATAAGCATTAAGCATTCAGTGTTAACAAAAGTTCTTTGAGATGAATAGTTTTTTTTTTAACATATTCATTTTGTCATATAAAACACTGAGAAGTTCAAATAATTTACAAGGTCTCTAGGTGGTAGAGACGGAAACTGAACTCAGGTGGCCTGGCTCTATGGTAAGCTTCAAAATCATCAAAAACAAACAAAAAACAAAAACAAAAGCTAAAGCAATTTGAGTGCTTAGATAAAATTCTGAAACAGGTACATGTAAAAATAATACTCAACTATAACATAACTTGCTACATGATGGGTACAAAAGATAGGCATTTCAATTTGCATTCTTAACTTTGGTAGGTAGTAATTTAATATAGTTTAGGTAAATTATATGGACAGTGTCTTCCAAGTCTAAGGGTAGTTAATGCCTAGGGGTGTTATTCCAGATAGGATATGTAAGGGAATAGTGAAGTAGGAGTAATCAATAAAAAAAGTATTTTCATAATGATAAAAATTGATTTTAATGCTGCTGATAAATCCAACTGTATTTTACAACTTGAAAAATATCCTATGTTGCTTTAGTTTAATAGTCCATTTACCTTAATAAACAGAAAGTATCATAGAAAGATTTAAATATGATGGAAATTAAGATTTACAAGGGAATTTGAGTAACCAAACTTATTACAGAATAACATTTAAGGAACCAATAAGGCTAGAAAACATTCTTAAATATGTCAAAGCTAAATTTCTGCCCCATCACACAGTACACAACTAGGTACCATCAAATATCAGAATAATACAGTATGCAAATCTTTTTCATGAAAAATAATCCCTTTTCCTTTTCCATATGAAATCTAACTAATCAACAGAAGCATTTGTTGACATACCTCAAACATTCTAGCAGCAGTACACCTCACAAGTGCTGATGTATGGACAACACCATACCACAAAACAGTTAACAGTAACTCATGGTAGGCTGGATTTGCACTGGAATAAAAACATAAATGTTAAAATTGAGAGCTACAGTGCTTTACTGGTGAACCAACAAACACTATATATAAGGAATATTAATGATAAAAATACTGACAGAACTGAAATTACTTTCCATGGTTTAATAGGTCACAGCTAAGACTTTTTTTAAAAAAGGAAGTCACCTTATAAAAACCACAAACCATATTCAGAAGTCACACTTTTAGCTTCTCTAAGCATGTGCAATTGTAGTAGCTATTTCAATTCTTTGGATTAGCATGCAAGTTAAAATTATAAATTGTTCTATGACGAAAAAAGAAAAAACACTGGACTGAGATATGTAAGTTATAACCTCTGTGGGTCTTAGCTTCTCTATCTGTCAAAACAAGGGAAGCAGTATATGTCCTACTTATGTCACGTAGTGGTTGTAGGAACAAATAAAATCAATTCAGTCCATCTACATGGAAGAGTGTGTTGGCTATGAAGTCTATCCAGATGTAAGATGGTATTATTAATGAATGCATGAGCCTGTTTTCAGTAAAGACTGAGATAAAACTACTTTAGTAGTCAGATAATGTAATTAAGAGCAAGACAAAGCAAATCAAATAGAATGGAAAAAGGAGCCTAAGGAGCTGCCTTTCAATTGGAAAGCTTATTTCCTGCAAATTGGTACTTGACTGTATTTTACCAACTGCTTCAAACAGATTGTTTGCACCTTTACCCCATTCTGTAAATTATAATGTACTGATTACAAAATATTAAGAATGTATACATAAGCAAAATCAGAGTACAACCCAAAAAACAAAAATCTCAAGTTGCAAAACCAATAATTAATCTTTATGCCAATCATTTGAGACTTAAAATATGTACTCTAAAAATTGAGTTTAAAAACATTATATGCCTCATTTTGGTCATAAATCTTGTATTAGTTTTTCTCCAATTGTTGAAGCATATGATAGTTTCCTCCCACCACCCTTTTTGGTGTGTCCTCTATGCTGCTCTAATCTGGACGAGTGGCTCCTTTGGTTTGCTGTAAAACTATTATAATGGGACTTCCCAATGCCATCATCCTGGGGCTTCCCTTCCTTGCTTGGTTCTTAGTTTTCTAAATAGTTTATCTTCCCTCTTATATGATTTTTAAAAAACTATAAACTATAAGCTATTGTTTTTTACCCCAATTCCACAAAAGAAGCCTTCAGACTATCAAGAGGAGCATGAGATAATGAAAGCAGGGTCATTACATCTTCTAAGAATCCAACTAACAGTTTTCGGTCTTCTTCCTACAGAGGAAAAATACTGATAATGAATTTCCAAGCAATCATGTAGAACTAAATACCATAATCATCTATCTATAATTAGAAAGTGTTACCAAATAAGGGGAAATATTCTAATTTGGAAACTATTGTTAATTAAAGATATTTATGTATGAAGCATATCTATTATCATAATGGTGTGAGGAGACAGACTATCTTAATGTTTTTTTTTAGACCGTGCTGTCCACTAGCCACTACTAGTGTCTAGTAGCCACTAGACACATATGGTGATTTTAATTTAAATGAAAAACAGGAAAAGATTCAGTTCTTTGGTCATACTACCAACAGTTCAAAGGCTTAATAGACACTATTGTGTCTACTATGTGGCTAGTACCTTCCTTATTATTAGACACTGTATCACTGCAGGAAGTTTTATTGAATGGTTCTACTTTAGAACACTAAAAGGTGCAATCTTTTATTAAAATTTACATTACAAATGTAATTCTCACGAATTTTGACTCTATACAGTTAAATGTGAACTACTAAAATAATAATCTCACTAACAGATGAAAATTTACTTTTAAGAAATGACCTTTATAATATCCTAATAGTAAAAGTCATAGTAAAAGTAAGTCATGCTTGCTTAGTCTGTGTTCTTAAAAGAAACACTCTCACACCTTGAATAAGATAATTTTCACTGAAAATCTGTACTGTAGATGAAAAACTTTCTTCAATAACTCATTATTACTTACAAAATCAGATAATATTTTTCTTTTTTAAAGCAATATTAGTAAGTATGTTAGAAAAAGCAAACCTGCTAAAAATTAGGAGAGTTTAAAAAATAACCTTGTATGTTAAATTAAGTGGAATCTGTAAGGGAAGGGCAATCTGACATTCCACCAGGAATATATACACAATAAATTAAAGTCAAGTTGTCATTTAGGAACATAGGCAGTCAATAACAAATAGTTCTGAATACATCAACAGATTCGTGAAGACTGGATTATTACCTATCATTTTTTTTGTAGTCAGGTTAGTTTACAATGATGTAGCCATAAAAGATGGGGAAAAGTAACAATTAAAATGAAAAAAGGAAGGATAAAGCAGTAGTAAAACATGACTGTCTACTTAGGGAAATGGATAGACAGTGACGAACCAACATGACACCAAACTGGAATAGAGATTTCTACACTATGCTTAGTTGTCCACTATGTCACACACAGATATAACTTTGGAAAATAAACTGTAAATCTGTCAACAGCCTGAGTAAAGTAAGAGGAAACATACTTCTAAATGAGCATGGATTCTTCTGATTTTTGAAAAATTGTTATAAATCCTCTGCTTTCTGAAATCTCAAAACAAATAATTCTGCTTATATGTTTGAGTCAAGGTAGATTTTGTTTAACTAAACACAAAGGGCTGTGGTTTATCCTAACAAAAATTTTTGTATAGTAAGAAAAATATTAACTGTTGGTATATGCTTCCTAAAATAAGTAACAATGGCCACCTGTGATTGCTAACTCAACATTCTGTAACAAACTGAATAGTTCTTAACTCTTAAAAGGTATAAATAATATACTTGGACTTCACAGTGACTCAAAAGACAGGTTCTTAGTGATTTATTTAGCAAATCTATTCTGAGGCCCTACTGTGAGTCTAACTTTAAATCTGGTACATTATTATCCTTTACAATCCTACTTATGGTCCAAATGAAAACATTAACAATGCTTCAAAAGGATTTAAAAAAAAGAAAAATACAGACATGACATTTGGTTTTATGTCAGAATATCTTCTAAAATTAAAGAGAGAGGAGAATGGTATGCATTCCATTGTGCTTACTGATACGCTAAGACTTAATATCATTGATCTCCATAAATTTTATTTATTTATTTATTTATTTATTTTTTGACAGGCAGAGTGGACAAAGAGAGAGACAGAGAGAAAGGTCTTCCTTTGCCGTTGGTTCACCCTCCAATGGCTGCCACTGCTGGCGCACTGCAGCCTGCGCACCGCGCTGATCTGATGGCAGGAGCCAAGTACTTATCCTGGTCTCCTATGGGGTGCAGGGCCCAAGGACTTGGGCCATCCTCCACTGTACTCCTGGGCCACAGCAGAGAGCTGGCCTGGAAGAGGGGCAACCGGGACAGAATCCGGCGCCCCGATTGGGACTAGAACCTGGTGTGCAGGCGCCGCAAGGCGGAGGATTAGCCTAGTGAGCCGCGGCGCTGGCGATCTCCAAAAATTTAATAATTGGAACAATCTATTTATGTTACATGACTTAAAATATTCTATACACAGAGATTCTGTGTGTATCCAGATTAAGATGAAGTCTTAGAAATTAGTGTTGAAAAGTTTAAAAGAATACCGTGCTACTTGAACAGAACTGGAGCTTCTGGTGCAAGCTATCATACCGTAGAACTGTATTTTAATTATACAATTTGATTCAAATCTGGTAAGAAGAGTGCAATAAATATGAATTGCTGTACTTTGAATTCAAATGGTAAAAGAAAAGTCAGGTATTAGTGAGTGAAAATTCAGGAACTCCTTCAATCTCACTTTCTAATTTCTAAAAGTTATTTATGTTGAGTGCTTATTTCCGCCTTATTGATGGTAATATCTCACATGCATATGCCCAGAGACATTCATGATATTTACTTAAAATAATGTTAAATAGAGTATGACAGTTTGTTACACTGATGACCACCAGTGTACCATACCTCCTGGTTTATACCTTGGCTAGTATGTTCTTTACTTCTGAATCTAGGCTGGGCCAGAGACTTATTTAACGAACAAACCACAGTAGAAATGATAATGTGCTAATTCCAGGTGTAAACAGATTCTGTTTTTGCATTCTTGGGTCATGTTATAATGATTCTGGCTCTGCTGTTCCAGAGGCCACGTGGGGAGAATGAAGCCCTGACCCTTCCTGGAGACTCCTGAGACTCCATTAACTGAAGAGTCTAATGCAGCAACATGAGTGATTACCAGAAAGATCAGCCGTAAAGACGTCACTTGAGCAAAGTCCAGATTGCAGAATCATGAGCAAATAAAGCAGTTGTAAGAAGTCACTATGTTTTGTGATAACTTATTATGCAGTAAAAATTAAGAAAATATGGTATTATTAAAAAGTACCTTACTTAAAATGATACAGTATTCTAGAGAATTTTGTAGCTTGCTTCACCTAGCTGCTCTGTTTGTCATTTATTACGAAAACCTTAATGAAAAACCAAGAACAAAATAAGTTCAATCTAACACTTCTAACAAAATCTCAAAGCATGCAATCTCTAAACTGATTTGCTCAACTAAGACTTTACCCAGGGCCCTGTTATTTAAAAATGACCTCCATTATACATTACTTATTGACTTTATAGGTAACACTTTTACTTATACACACATTAAGAAAATATAACATTAGGTATTTTTTTCCTTACCTGAATATAACATGTAAGGACTCCTGTTGCATAAATGGGAACTGTAGCTTTAGTGAGGACCCCGTTTCCTGCTGAAGAATCTAAAATCATTAAAATAATTTTTAAAGTCCAAGTGCCTTTTAAGTGTAAAGATAAAAGTCACAATGTAATAATATTTAAAATTATAACTGTTGACAAGTTTCTAAATAAATACTCATATTATTACTTTGGAAACTATTATGATTAAAAGACATTTCTATTGATTGTTATAAAATACAATTTAATGGTTCTTAACGCTATTATTATAAACATTTCTTAAAGGTGGGAAGGAACTTTAATAACCAAAATTGAGATATTACATTCCTATTTCCATAATCACAATCAGTGCTTTCTTCTGAGTTTCCCAAGTACCCACATAGGTAGGTTTTCCTAAAATCTTATGCTTACAATATTTTGTAGAATGTAAGGGCATTCCGTTAGGAGCAGATGTTTAAATATATGCATGTATCATTTAATCTGCTTCCAGATATGATTCTATCTACTTTCTTTTTTTTTTTTTTTAAAGATTCATTTATTTATTTGAAAGGCAGAGTTACATAGAGGTAGAGGCAGAGAAAGAGAGGTCTTCCATCTGCTCGTTCACTCCCTAATTGGCTACAACGGCCGGAGCTGTGCCGATCTGAAGTCAGGAGCCAGGAGTTTCCTCCGGGTCTCCCATGTGTGCAGGGGCCCAAGGACTTGGGCCATCTTCTACTGCTTTCCCAGGCCATAGCAGAGAGCTGGATTGGAAGTTGAGCAGCTGGCACTCGAACCAGTGCCCATATGGGATGCTGACACTTCAGGCTATGCCACAGTGCTGGCCCCCGTCTACTTTCCAATATTAGCCTATTTACAGAGTTACCCTGTATCCTCAATAGCATTATGAGCCAGAACCCTGACTATTTTCCTTGGAGAGGAGTCAGGTTGAGGCAAACAGGGAGAAAGAGGGAAGGCATCCAACCACTGGTGTGTGCCCTGTGATTATTGTACAATAAAATTTTCTTACTTAGCACCTAAAGCCAGTTTCAAAAGATAGTTTCAGAGATAGTAATGAGATGATTTTCCAGCATTAAATACTCTGGTTTATCAATTGTTAGGCACTGCTTTAGGTGCTCTAGCCTTCCTTTTACATTCTCAAAACTTCTTTTTTACTACATTTCTATTTTCATATGGCTTTGCATTACTTTCAGAGGGTAGAACTCAGAGAAACTGAATTAATTAGTTATGTACTTAACTAATTGCCTTATAGGAATTTTTAGCAATAATTTTCACATTAATTCATATCTGAGGTCTGTTTATTCTCTTGGTAACAATTATCTTTTCTTAAGGGGATATCGATGTTAGCTGAGTATGACAATGGTAGTAAAGATGTAAATCTGAGGTTAGGAGCATAAGCTTAAGTACTGTTTATTATAGATTGTATCTAGAGGGGTTAATAATCGCTTCCTGTTTGAACAATGGAACATTCATAGCTAACTAATAATTCCCAACACCACCAGTTTCCAAAATGCTAAATTTTTTTGTTTACTCATTTACCATCAGAATAATGAATTAAAAACACATAATACTAATAATTAGGAATTCTAAACAACAAACATTTAAAAAGTTATGAAAAATAACCCTTTGGAAGCATTTGTCCCCACCCCTCTCCAAAAAATATCACTTAACAATCTTCTGGAATTCTGTATTATTCTTTGGACAGCCACAAGATAGAATTTTCTAGACCAGTAAAGTCAAATCACTACAGTGGGATTCAGGTAAGTATCTAGACATTCAAACCAACCAAATTCAAAAGTGGGGAGTGTGCCATACATTTTCCCTAACATTTCCGACAACTGATATCTAGCAAATAAGGAAATACACAAGGACATAATATCTATACATAAGAAAGCTCTTAGGCCAATGGTGCTATAACTGGGCTTCCTTAGATGAAATGAGGATGATCAGCAAGGGAGCTATAGTTGTCCATACAAATAGCAGTTTCTTTAAAATCTCATGTTTATTTTAGAAACATACGCCTTTCATTCTTTTCCATTATATTGGGCTAAACTTTGTTTTTTAAAAGATTTATTTATCTGTTTGAAAGGCAGAGCATTTCACTTAATCTTGTTGTCTTTGGGAAGTCAAGAAGAAATGTCATTCAACCTCCCACGTGTATGGAGGGAGAAGTGGCCAACCATAATCCCACAGCAAACTAGGGTTGGAGTAAAAGCCAGAAACCACACCTTCTGGCTTGATTTTAGGAAGCAGTGTGGTTCTGGGTAATGGTTTCTGATTTTTTTCTTTTTAAAGCTTTTTTAATTTATTTATTTGAAAGGCAGAATTAGAGAGGCAAAGGCAGAAGCAAAGAGAGAGAGAGAAAGACTTTCATCTACTGGTTTACTCCCTAAATGGTTGCAATAGCCAGAGCTGGGCGGATCCAAAGCCAGGAGCATCTTCTGATTAACTATGCATTAGATGCTGCTTATTTTGTAATTTTCAGTATCTTTAATCAACCACTTCAAATATCCAAAGGCAGAAGTGTTAAGTTTGAGAAACTCAGACTCAGGTCAGTTTGGTTTAATGAAGGTAGACAGTTACAATCAAATTGGAACACAGATTAATTTCACTATCCCTCATGGGAAGGATATCCGATGTGACACAGTTGTAAAAGCAAGAACTCCATATTATAAATTTTCTTTTTCAGTTGTAATTGTTAGCTAATTTAATCACATACACTGAATATAGTATTCTTCCTGATTAAGAGATTCAATTATTTTTAATAGTAGTAATGAACAAACTTACCAATGTTTTCTTCAGACAGTCTTAAAATCTCTTGGAACTGAGGCTTTACCTAAGCAATCCAAAGAAAAAAACCAAAACATCTTAACTTATTTTGCTTTATAGGTTATTAGTGGTCAGAAATATAATAATTACTTTTTAATTTTTTTAAAAGACTTACTTATTTGAAAGGCATAGTTACAGAGAGGGGGCGATAGAGAATCTTCCATCTGATGGTTCACATTCCAAATGGCTGCAACAGCCATGGCCGGGCCAGGCTGAAGCCAGGAGCCTGGAACTCCATCTGGGTCTCTCATGTGAGTGCAGGGGAAACTAGATCCTAAGGGATACATCCTGGACTCAAGCTGGCATGCCTATATGGGATGCTGGCAGTTCAGATGGAGGCTTAACCTGCTGTGCCACAATGCCGGCCCCAGAAAAGTAATAATTCTTAATTAAGAGGTTTAGGATAAAAGAATAGTTAAATTACTGAAAATAATACCTTTAAGAAAACAAAAACTGAAATGATTCAGGTTCACAAGTTATTTTTGGAATGGCTTTTGGTTTCTTTTATTAAAATAATTTCCAAGATGATTAAAATTAATGCATCCTAAAAACTTATGTTGGTGATTGATTATTTAGGTAGGTATTTTTATGATTAAAATTATTGGAGGGGCTGGCGTTTCGGCATAGGGGGGTTAAGCCTTTGCCTGTGATGTTAGCATCCCATATGGGCGCCAGTTCAAGTCCTAGCTGCTCCACTTCTGATACGGCTCCCTGCTAATGTGCCTAGGAAGGCAGCAGAAGATGGTCTAGAACCTTGGGCCCAAGCACTCACATGGGAGACCCAGAAAAAGCACTTGGCTCCTGGCTGCGGCCCAGCTCAGCCACAGCTATTGTGGCCATCTAGGGAGTGAACCAGCAGATGGAAGATCTCTATCCTTCCCCCTCTCTCTATGTAACTCTGTCTTTCAAATAAAATAAAAATACATCTTTAAAAAATTACTAGAAAAAAGCATTTGGCTATATTTAAGAGTAATGAAAAGGAAATTCCATTTTTTATTGATAGATACTCAGATTAATCTTTTATTATAACTCCTTAAAAATTTAAACATCAAAAACAGTTTTACTTTATATTTAAGCTAGAGCAAATGCTTGCCTCAATTTCTCATCATTAGTTATCATATATTTCAGACCTCTGAAGACAACCTTCTATTGTTAAGTTCTTAAGTATACTTGCACTGGATTTCCCCACTAAAAGACACATACATACAAAGACTACCTGTTTTAAAGATGTCAAACAATTTTTGTCAATGTTGATAACAGTAAAACCAAATTATATTTATTTAATAATTAGATGCTAGTGAAATGTGTAAGATGATCTTGTTTTTCCTACAATAGTATCAAGATCTTGTTTTTGTCCTCCTACTAGTAGGTAGGAATTATTTACATATTTAACTTATACTGAGATGAAGAACACAGTTAAAATATTAATCTAATGAATCATACTTATAGAACCAAAAGATACTGAAGCAACTTCTTCATTTTACATATGACATGCCAAGCCCAGGTACTATAACTTATTTATTAAAGGGAATAACATTAGTTGGCTGATAATAGGGTCGTATCCAAGTCTTCTGAATTTTATCTGTTTCACTTTATACACTGTTTTGTTTTAAATGTTTCCATAACTATAGATTTAATACTGAAGTACTGCAATAAAATGCTTACCTTTCAAGTGTCTTAACATTTGATTATAGAAACTATATCTTTTTATGTATTTATTAGGTCTCTAAAAAATTAGCTTAACAACAGGTTATGAAGACAAACAGATTAGTAGAATTGAAGAAACTGAGGTCTAAGAATACTATAATTTTAATATCTAAAGCTACAGAATAATCTGTTCTGGGCAATGTGATGCATGATTCTTCTGGTAGAGATTTAAATACATAGTGGACTGTGGCTTATTTCCCTATCTGATACTTCCTGTGCTGTAAATCTTTTGAGGTATCCACAATGAGAAAGCCTTATATACAAGTCTGGATACAACCTGAATTTAGGTTAAATCTTTATCTGAAAATCAACAAAGAATATCATCAACTACAGGTTTCTTTTACAATCATATTATCCTAAAATATTAAAACATAATTAGGATAATGGGGAGGCTCATACTTTTATTTGTAGTTTTAACACATTACATTTCTGTCTCTTGCATATAAGAAAACATGGAACACAAGTTTTTACCTTAGTATTTGTAAATATTTTGCCAAATGTCCGGCAAAGGCGCCAGAAAAATCTGGAGAATTCATGGACACAGGCAGTTGAAGTAACATTAATTTTGCCAACTATTTCTATAAGTTGTGGCAACCTGAATATGAAAGGAGAGAAAAATAGGCAGGGGATACATATAAATTACTGTTTCCTTGCCAATTTCTGAAACAATGCAAATCTAACAATTTTATCTGCTTTATTTTTTGAAAGCAAAGGATTGTTTGGAACCCTTTGAAAAAGTCTTAAGATTACATTCTACTGTATAAAACTTTCTTAAAACAAATTTTTACTGCCTGCATAAAATACACAGAAGCTTCAGAGTAGAGTTCTGAGTATGGAGTTAAGACACATCCATGGATATGATGCTTCATACAGGCAGCTTGGCTAACATGGCATCCATTTTCACTTCAAAAATTAGAAATCTGGATATAATTTAAAATCCATCACTGCTACAGAACAGACAGATGCTTTTGACATAATAGCAGTACCTTCTTCACAGATAAATTACTACATATCCTGTGGTGTGAATCTCTTCTACTAAGTTATTGACACGTATGATGCCAAGTTACATTTTTTTGACATTTAAAACATACGCATATTTTGTTCTTCAGTGCCAAGGATAAATATAATGAGCTACCAGTCATTCAACTGACTCAGGTGCACCAAGTAAACATGAAAGTGTTAACTTACAATTGATTGACAACCCATAGTAAACTCTCCCAGCCTGTTGTACCCTCGTGTTCCAGTTGGTAATCATAAAGCTGTAGTAGCACTGCCAATTGCTCACGACTTCCAATAATAGTAGACACATCTTGAAGAGGTGACATAGGCCGAGGAAACCTAGTCACTATAAGTAACAGAAGCCAAATAAATCACGTGGAAAACGGAAGTTTGGAAACTATTCTGTTAAAAGGAAATGGAGATCTTTCCCCTGATGCTTAATTAGGTTCTTATTGTGAACTTTTGATATAAAACTGAAGTATATCAACCAATTCATTGCTAGAAAAAAATGAAATTATTGCCAAATGTGAACAAGTCCAACAAATTTGAAAGTTAAGATTTTACAAGTGTAAAGTTAATAGATGAATACTGTAATGAGACGGCTTGCAAATGAATAATAAAATTTCATTTTGGTTAAATTAAAATTGGTCTAAAGATAAGACTCTTAGCTTGAATTTGGTTTTAGAAATGAAGACATACTTATAATTCCATGTCAGTTAAAAAAATGACAAAATATTTCCTTTAGGGAATAAGGAACTAATAGGCTAGTAGCAAGGAAAAAACTACTTAATGCCAGAGAATGACATAAGATACACTAAAAGCCTGAGACGAACAGGTTTATTTTATTTTTTTGTATTTCATTTCTAATATTAAGTGTTTTATTTAAAATTTTTGTAGCTTGATAAACATTAAATTAATACAAAATGTTAAAGGTAGTGATCAGTAAAATGACACAGAGTATACTATAGATATTATAATCAGGGTATCACGTTATTTACTTTAATTAGGTTCCAGGTTTCTAAGGGAATACTTTATGGATACCTATTAAGTAAGTAACGCATGCCAAGCGTTCATTAACTGCTGATCAGGAACTTCTAATATATATTTTAGGTAACTCCTATATAGAGGGAAACAGTTTCAAAAGAAACATAAGGAGGAAGCACTTTCTCAAGACATATTTTCAAATAACAGTGGAAATTACTCAAGAAGATTTGAAATAGCACCTAATTTCAAAAATGCTCAAAGACAAAATTAAGGTATTATTGTATTCCTAAGCTGTGTCAGGCATCTAACAATATATCAAGTACTGATAAAGGTTATCCCTTGCTATTTGAACTATCCTATTTGCTATCTCAATACAGAAAGAAGGAGAGAGGTAAAGAGAAAGAGTGATCGACTTTGGATAACACAGCATCCCTTGAAATCAAAGGTTTCTGCTCAAATTGTCATTATCCCCAACTCAAAAATCAAACAGATTTGGATAGTGAGATATTTATACTTTATATTTCTACATTGTATCTCAGCATATCTGACATAATTTCAAGCAAGGTTCTATTATCTTGGTGACAATGTGCTATACCATAATGGAATGAATGCTGTTCTTTCAAAAATACTGATAAATTACTGGAAAATAATGGAATAGTTAAAAGTAAAACATTGAGATGTACTGTAAAAAGAGTGGCATCCTAAGATTTAAAGCTAGATCCAATTGAAGAAAAACAATAAGCAATTCTGGGGCTATTTAGCTACTATAGATAAGCAACCAGAATGCTCTAGGAGCTTTAAAACATTATTCTACTTAACTGTGATTTAAAAAAAAATTATCTAACTACAATAGGTCCCCAGAATGTCATTTTAGTAAGCTGGCAAAACACTAGCATTTTTGTATCAATGAAATAACCACAATTATCCAGCAAAATAACAGCTATTACGAATCTTAAATGCATTTCCACCCAACCAGAAAGTAAGCTCTATGATGGCAGATTTTTTTGTGCATTTTATTTATGAGCAACAGTATCCCAAGAGTCTAAAACAGTGCCTGATGTCAATTATTAGTGAACAATGTGGAATAAATTAATAACAAAAATATTTGTGTGGGTTGTCATAATTTATGAGAAAACAAATCTGCATTTTTAGTAAGTACACTAAAATGTAAATACAGTATAATAACACTAACATTGATGGCTTTTGTTAAAAGTCAGGGGGTCAACTTAAATCAAAAAGAACAAAAATAAAAGATTATTGCTGATAAAAATAAAAACAATCAAAGAGGTCATATAAAGATTGGAGGGAATATGTTCAGGATTGTAAAGAAGCTGTTTGAAATTGTTCTGTCTAACCTGTAGCATGTTCCTGGCAATAGTTGACATTCATGGAATATAAATTGAGAAATTATAACACATATTATGGGTTGAACTGGGTTTCCTGTCCTAAATTCTTATGTTGAAGCCCTAACCAGTTATCTCATAATGTGAACTTATTTGGTTACAGGGTTGCAACAGATGCAGACAGATAAAGTGTAAGGAGTTGGGTGGGGCCCTAGGTCAATATGATTGACATCCTTATAAAAAGGGAAATTTGGACATAAAAGAGAATGCCATGTGAAGATAAAGACAGAGGTGGGAGTGATAGCATCTACAACTCAAAGGACACTAGACTGCCAACAAACCACAGAAGTTAGGGGAGAAACACAGAACAATTTTTTCCTCACAGTTTTCAGAAGGAACCTATTCTGCCAACATGTTGGTCTCAGACTTCCAACCTCCAGAACTGTGAGAAAATAAATGTGTAAGCCAGGCCGGCGCCGCGGCTCACTAGGCTAATCCTCCGCCTAGCGGCGCCGGCACACCGGGTTCTAGTCCCGGTTGGGGCGCCGGATTCTGTCCCGGTTGCCCCTCTTCCAGGCCAGCTCTCTGCTGTGGCCAGGGAGTGCAGTGGAGGATGGCCCAGGTGCTTGGGCCCTGCACCCCATGGGAGACCAGGAAAAGCACCTGGCTCCTGGCTCCTGCCATCGGATCAGCGCGGTGCGCCTGCCGCAGCGCGCTGGCCGCGGCGGCCATTGGAGGGTGAACCAACGGCAAAGGAAGACCTTTCTCTCTGTCTCTCTCTCTCACTGTCCACTCTGCCTGTCAAAAAAAAAAAAATGTGTAAGCCACTTAGCTTGCAGTAGTTTCTTAAGGCAGCCATAGTAAACTAATACAGCAAAGTAGAAAGAGAATTAGATGGAGAGGAAAATCCCTAGGTGAGAGATGAAGTGCTTTAATGAATAAAGTAGCCAAAACCAACATGTTTAGCTCTGAGTACTACATCAAATTTAACCTTAATTTGAATTTTCATTCTTTTCAATAATATCATTTAAAAAAATTAAACTCCATACCATTCATTCTCAATTTTCCAAATAGAACTGACATTCAAATAGTATGCACCACTTTTATCCTGTGGGCTTGAATATCCTTAGACATGATGCTTTATATTCCAAAGATTACATGCAATCCACAGTTAATATGCAAATCACAATTCTAAAAATATGAATACATAGATATCCCAATGTTTTAATTCTTTGACTATCTGAAACCAATAAGAGACATGGGTAATTTCACAAATCTGAAAAACCTACAAAGGTATCTTACACTTAGCAGTATCTTGAAGCTATTTATCTTAGGGTTAGGTGCCGTGAGTTATCAATTACCTACTATGTATCAAAGATCACTTGAGGGTTATCTGGAGAGTAAGGTAAGAAAATACTGGGTTCTGTTGTCAATTATTTCATGTAGTTCTGAAAATAAGTTCCACTCCTTCTTTGAAAACAATGGAATTCTGTCAAGTACATTTATATTCCATTCTAACAAGAATATTGTAGGAAAAGGTAATTACATTTACCTACTCTGCTGAAAAAGATAAAAGCAGTTGTGAAAAAAGTGAATATAAAGAAGGCAGAAATGAGGAGTTTCATGTACTGGCACTCTTAACTATTAACCCCATCTCAAAGGTTATTAAAGGACTACTAAGAATGGAAATAAATCATAAGTATATAAAATAATACCATGAGATTTATACATAAAAGATGAAGCCATATAGTCTACCTTAGCATAAAATCTGTGACCATGAAATTCCACACAATAAATTTTAGCAATTATGCCGTCATATAAAGTGACTTTTAGGATTTTAATAAAAAAAATTCTTTGGGAAGCTAAGCTGCTAATATTCTACATCTTCCTTCCAGGACATAAGTTCAGTACCTTCTATCTGTGGCACTTCACCATGAAGCTTGGCTTTGCTGGAGAAGGGTGCATTCTGTAGCACTAATGCAAAGAGAGATGGGATCAATGACTGCAAGGCAGAAAGATACATGTGGAGCTTATGTTCATCCAGCCCATGTTCTCCTTCCTGAAACATAAGCAAGCAGAAGCTAAGTTTAGTCTTTTGAAACTGCATTGCCAATTGGATTTATGCTGTTTTTCCTTTCTGTGGCAAATACAATGTTTAAGGAGCTGTATATTGTACTAAAAGGTTAACACTTGATTGAAAACGTCAATGAATCTTTTCTTTATTTCTCTTAAGTGTATGAAAATGTGAGGAAACACTAATATACTATAGAAGTAATAGAACCTTTTATATGGAAAATTTCAGGGTAAACCAGTCATGTTGGGAACATCTTTTACAAGTTCTCCTTTTCTTCAGAGGTCTTCAAAATTCTGTCAGTCAGGGTAAAGCAATTTAAGTGAGCCACAGGAAGAATTCTAAATGCTCAACTGCTAACCAAGCAGCAAGGCTTCCTACTTCCCCTCTCCCACTTCCTATCTCCTTTTATAGATTTGATGACATCAGTATGTGCAAGCACTTTAAAATAATTCAATACAAAGATAAAATGTAAAAGAAACTTTAAAAAGGAAACAGATCGTGAGAAAACAGAGGGAAAAAAAAGACTATTATGGTATACAGAAACCAAGTGTTAAAAGGAAAAATAATTAGAGTATCTACCTTCATGGCATACAATAAGCACCACAGAAATGTTAGTCTTCTCGCCTCTACAAGGAACATTTGACACCATGTAATAAGAAGGCTTAAAAAAACTCATATTTTAGTTATCTCTGCATATTGGAATTGGAGCAGTGATACTTTATGTAAAACGCTTCAGTCCTCAGAGAGACAAGAAAGAGCTAGCTTTCTGAATAATGTAGGCATTATTTCCATGAAGGTGCTATTTCAGCTAACAAATGCAGATCATGCCCCTTCTCCTCGAGCTTCAGCAAAGCAAAACTTCCTCAGCTCCTTGCATGGCTCCAGCCCAAGAGAATCTTTAATAATGTATTTGAATATTCAGCTAAGTAGTTGCTTCTATTCCTCCGTGATGGCTGAGAATAGCTTAAATTCCTATAAACAAAGGAAGAACTTACCCTGAGAAGCTTTTCAATCTTGTTCAGCAATGTAGGTATAAGATGAGACTGTAAATTTCCCAGTTCTGTAGTCCAGGCAGCATACGCTGGTAAAAATACCTGATGTGTAGCACTAACTACTCTTTCTGAAGGATCACCCAAAGCAGACAGCAACAACTCAAAACCCTGCCATAGGGAGACAAGCAAATGGATACTATTAACAGTAAACTTCAAAAAATAAAAAGTAGTAAATATACATTTCAATAAATTTAGGAACCTATGTTCAGCAAGAAAGTCATCATAATAATACTTTTTACATTTTCTCTAAGGAAAATGTTATATATCCATTGATGAGCAAACAATGAGAAGGGGTCATTAACACAGCATATTTTTTCTTTTTTTTTATTTGACAGAGTTATAGACAGTGAAAAAATATGGAACACTTCACGAATTTAACACAGCATACTTTCGCTGATTTTCTACCATAAAGCTGTGGTAGACACTGTAAATGAATCACAGTATTCTTCCACTGCATTGTAAAATTAAAGCTTTCTCAATGAATTCAAGGTGACATAATTGCCATCCCTTCTTTCTCTAGGTGTCTGAATCAGAGATTTGAATTATATTATTTGAAATTTTCTAACAGAGCAAAAGGGCTTCATTGTAAAAAACATACCTGTTGATATTTGTCTGGATCATCAATATATCCCATAATGATACCAAGGCTTTTGATGACAGCTTCCCTTACCAAATCTGCCTTATCTTCCATTAACATTTGTTGCAACATTGAAAGAACCAAGGAGCTACGAATTTCTTTCTGAAAATAAACAACATGCTTTTACTACTCACCAAAGCACAAAAAGTAAGGGAAATAAGACACATTCCGATGTGTTCAAAATTCAGATTTAAAACAAAGTATCACTGCTATATTTACTTCAAATCATTATTTTTTGAAGAGATAAAAATTATAGTTAGCCAAAATTTCATTCTTCTCCAAGTAATAACATCTACCCTGCGTTCTGCAGGAAGTATCTCTCAGCATGTTTTCATGTCTTCACTAGATAAGGAAAATTTCCTCAAATCCTTATAGCCACACTAACAAACGCTTTTAGCAAATCAACAGTCAAATGGAAAACGTCTCTTATATCACTTTCTGTTAAATACAAGGAAGAGCACTGAGAATTGTACGTACGGGAGGGATTATAAAGTCACTGACAATTAAAGCACTTGCCTGGGGTAGGGTGAGAAAACGTCATTATGAAGATTGGCATTCTTATTTCTTGAAGGAGAAAAGTTGTCAAACAGGATAATAAGATACAATAGTGACGTTCAAAAGTACTTTAAAAAATACATTGCTATTGGGGCCAGCATTGTGGTATAGCGAGTTAAGCTGCTGCCTGTGACGCAGACATCCACATGGCCGCCAGTTTGAGTCCTGGCTGCTTCACTTCTGATCCAGCTCCCTGATAATGTGCCTGGGAAAGCAGTGGAAGATGGCCCAAGTGCCTGGACTCCTGCACCCACATGGGAGACCTGGATGAGAGCCTGGAAACCTGGCACCTGGCTTTGGTTTGGCTCAGCAATATAGCATTTCGGGAGTAAACTAGTGGATGGAAGATAGCTCTCTGAAAATATAAGCTTGGATCCATATAAATTTTTATTTTATCGAAGTATTAATTAAAAACAATTAACAGTGGATACCCTTGGAGAGAATGTTTTGGGCCGGAAATGGAAGTCTTTGATTTTCCTTTTATGCTTTTCTGTATCATAAGGGCATTATTAAAAAAAATTTTACATACACACACACACACACACACACAAGGAGGAAGACTTTGGACTATTCTTTCTTTATATTTTTCTGAATAAAATACTTATTCACTTTGCAAATGCCCACATTGGCTGGGACCAGGAGCTGGAATACAATCCAGGTGTGTGGCAGGAATTCAACCATCATCACTGTTGCATTTCAGGATCAGAATTAGCACGAAGCTGGAGTCAGAAGCCAGGGCTGGGCGCTGAACATAGGCACCCCGAGAGAGGAATGCTGGGGTTTTAACCTGCAGTTTACCTTCCAGGCTGAAAGCCCATCCCAATATTGCTCTTTAAAAAGACACCTGTTGGGGCCAGTGCTATGGCACAGTTGGTTAATGCGCTGGCCTGAAGCACCAGCATCCCATGTGGGCGCCGGTTCTAGTCCTGGCTGCTCCACTTTCTATCCAGCTCTCTGCTGTGGCCTGGGAAAGCAGTAGAATTAGTCCAAAGTCCTCGGGCCCCTGCACCCACGTGGGAGACCTGGAAGAAGCTCCTGGCTCCTGGCTTTGGACTGCTGCAGCTCCGGCCGTTGTGGCCAATTGGGGAGTGAACCATCAGATGGAAGACCGTTCTCTCTCTGCCTCTCCTTTCTCTGTGTAACTCTGACTTTCAAATAAATAAATAAATCTTTTTTAAAAAAAGACACCTGTTTTCTGCCTTTCACTAAAGAATATGAGGTTAACAGTAAATCCAAATAAGTAGCTCATGCACTGTTGCACGATTTAATTTTCTATAGCTGTTTTTAAGAACAATCTTAAGGGGCTGGCACTGTGGTATAGCGGATAAAGCCACTGCCTGCAGTGCCAGCATCCCATTTGGGCGCCAGTTTGGGTCCCGGCTGTTCCACTTCTGATCCAGCTCTCTGCTATAGCCTGGGAAAGCAGTGGAAGATGGCTCAAGTCCTTGGGCCCCTGCACCTGCATGGGAGACCTGGAAGAAGCTCCAGGATCCTGGCTTCAGATCGGGCCAGCTACAGAAATGTGGCCATTTGGGGAATGAACCAACGGATGAAAGACTTCTGTGTCTCTCTCTCTGCCTCTGCCTCTATAATTCTGTCTTTCAAATAAATAAATAAGTCTTCATTAAAAAAAAGAGCAATTTTCGAAAAATACATTTTAAGGCATCAATTAGCAAAAGTTCTGTAAAATAGGCCAGATGGCATGTACTCTTGGTTTTTGGGTCATAAAAATTTCTGTTGCAACTACTCAACTCTGCTGTTATAACACAAAAGCAGACATAGACAACACATAAAAATCAGTGTCACTGTGTGCTGATCAAACTCTGTTTTTCTAAACAAGCTGTGGGCTGGATTTGGTATGCAGGTTATAATTTATCAATCTCTGATTTACAATACTCATTATTTAAATTAAAATAATTATGATGCTACCTCATCCCTTCTATCTTTAAGCCCTGCACTTACGGGAAGATTCTTATAAGGGCAATGATTCTCAATGTTTTTAGTGGCAGGAACCCCTTATTAACTTAAAAATTAATGAGCATATCAAACAGTTTTTGTTTAAGTAAGTTTTATTTATTTATTTATTTGACAGGTAGAGTTATAGACAGTGAGAAAGGTCTTCCTTCTGTTGGTTCAACCCCAAATGGCCGCCACGGCCGGTGCTGCACCGATCCGAAGCCAGGAGCTTCTTCTTGGTCTCCCATGTGGGTGCAGGGGCCCAAGCACTTGGGCCATCCTCCACTGCCCTCCCAGGCCACAGCAGAGAGCTGGACTGGAAGAGGAGCAACTGGGACTAGAACCAGTGCCCATATGGGATGTCAGCACCACAGGCGGATGATTAACCAAGTGAGCCATGGCGCCGGCCCAAAGTAAGATTTATTGATAGTTATCATAACAGAAATTAAAACTGAAAAATTACAAAAATTGTCAATCTGCTTAAAAATGAAAATAAACTCATTAAATGTTAACAAGAATAGTATTTTTTGGAAATAATTTATTAAAGAAACAAAAATATAGAAGTATTGTTTTATATTTTGTTCGAAATCTCTTTCATATCTGACTTAAAAGAACACAGGTAATTCTCTTATCTGCTGTGTCCAATTTGGTATGATACGTTGTTTTGGTTGAAGTATTTAAGGAAAATTTGTCCTTATAGAAGACATGTAATCAGAAAAGAAGGGTATTTTTTAAATAGTATTTTCAGATAAAAAAAAAAGGCTCATCGATAATAAGATTTTCAAATTCTGGTGTATCAATTCCATTGGTCCATCATAGTCTCTATTTTGTGCCTCTATTTTATTTTTTTAATTAATTAATTAATTATTTTGACAGGCAGAGTTAGAGAGTGAGAGAGAGAGACAGAGAGGAAGGTCTCCCTTCCATGGGTTCACCCCCCAAATGGCTGCTACAGCTGGCGCGCTGCACTGATCCAAAGCCAGGAGCCAGATGCTTCCTCCTGGTGGATGCAGGACCCAAGCACTTGGGCCATCCTCCACTGCCTTCCCAGGCCACAGCAGAGAGCTAGACTGGAAGAGGAGCAACCGGGACAGAATCCGGAGCCCCAACCGGGACTGGAACCCAGGGTGCCGGCACCGCAGGTGGAGGATTAGCCAAGTGAGCCGGGGCGTGGCCTTGTGCCTCTATTTTAAGCTGTGATTAGTCATTTGGAAAAAACTGGACCACAGAGTTATGCAGATCTCCTTCATTCTATTCACATTTCACTATATCATCAAAAAAACTCACTGTTGTTATCAGAAAAGTCTACATATTAGAAGCTGTCAAGCTCAAAGTGGCAGATAGAAGTTTCCCACAATTTTAGTGTTCATTTAAAAACTCTAATTTCAACACACACTGTCTACTTGTTTTCCAGGCTCACCTCACCTAATCCCATGAAAATATCTGCCACATATCCAAGCATGAATAACTCTGTCAAGAGAGATTGGTGTGCCATGAAAAAGAGGGTCTATGGGGCTGGCATTGTGGTGCAGTGGTTAAGTCATCACCTGTAGCTATGCTGGCATCCCATATCTGAGTGCCAGTTCTAGTTCCGACTGCTGTGCTTCTGATCCAGCTCCCTGCTGATGAGGCTGGGAAGGCAGTGGAAGATGGTCCAAAAATTGTGCTCTTGCAACCACATGGGAGACCTGGCCATTGCAGTCATTTGAAAGTGAACTAGTGGGTGGAAAAGCTCTCTCTGTCTCTCCCTTTGTCACTCTACCTTTCAAATAAATAAATCTTAAAAAAAAAAAAAAAAAAAGAAAAGTTTTGTCTGGCGCTCTGGTATAGCAGGTAAAGCTGCTGCCTACAGTGCCAACATCCCATATGGGTGCCAGTTCGAGTCCTGGCTGTTCCACTTCTGATCTAGCTCCCTGTTAATGTGCCTGGGAAGCATCAGAAGACAGTCCAAATCCATAGGCCCCTGCACCCATGTGGGAGACCTGGAAGAAGCTCCTGGCTCCTGGCTTCGGATCAGCCCAGCTCAGGCCGTTGCGGTCATTTGGGGAGTGAACCGGCGGATGGAATACCTCTCTCTCTACCTTCTGCCTTTCTGTAACTCTCACTTTCAAATAAATAAAATAAATCTTTAAAAAAAAGTCTGGGTCAGCTCACAACTCAATTATATTAAGTGCTTTTCCTGCAAATAGCTGTCATACTTAGCAACTAAAGGCTTTTATGAGTATTTTCTATTTTGTCTCCTAGAATATTAAAATGATACATACTCAAGGTTAAAAATTGACTGATTTAGCAAGCTCCTTTAGAAGTGAAATTGGCTTGTTCTATGACCAAATGGCAGGGAAGAATACAACCCTTATTGGTTTACATGGTTGCCACTGTTCTGATTAGTGCTGATGCACCAGTTTTTTTCCCCTAATCACTAACAGTGCAATGGTCAACACAGTGAAAAAGACAATAAAGTCTTCTTCTTATTATTATGACAATAGCTTTTACCTCATGGACCTCTTTAGAGGGATCTCAAGAACACCCTATGGTCCTCAGATCACATTCTGAGAACTGTTGATATAGTTTCATATATTTATACTCAAGCAAAATCAATGGAAATGTGCCCATTTCTTTGCATGCCATACTGTAGTAATGTGAACTTTTCATTTCTTGGGTCACCTCATTTTTTGATTAAGACGGTACACAAGAGATTTTGAATTAAAATGTATTTAAGACACTTGAAAAAAGCTTTCTCTATTTTTTAAAAAAGAAAAAAAGGCGACAGTTCTTACAGGAAGGTAAGGTGCCAGTGCTCCACAGGATTCTGCCACAAGCAGTCGTCTTTCTGGGTATTTGTGATTGATCTAGAGTAAAAAATACAGAAACATGAGCAACATAACCTTTTTTTTCCAACAGAGAATTATTTTCACCACACTTCAGGGAATCCCTGTGTGGCTACACTTGGAATTTGGGAATCAGGGAGAGCCTAAACATGACGTTATGAAGTCATCTGTTAAGGAAAAAAGGGAAATTCAAAGATGAAAATTTGGTAAGGTTTCTAGAGATAATGAGCATGCATAAAACTAGATTTTTTCTTAGGATGTCAGGAGAAATTAGGACCTTTCCCAAGCAACACCATTTTCTAATGAAAAACCCAGCTTCTGGATCTTATAGATATGGTCCATAATAAGTGCCAATCTTCTTTTTCACCAAAGTGAGTAGGAAGCAATTTCATCAGTGATTAGGCAGAGTCTTGACTAGCAATACCACTTTATTTTTAGGTTAAGCAGACTTCAATCCATTTCTCAGTTTGCATATACAAAATGATGGAGTTTTGCTATTGTGATGACTACACTGAACTATAATAAAAAACAACAAAAAATGACACATACTGGGTTTTGTTCCCATATGTCTTCTTTATAGAATATATAAATCTTTGACAGCAAAATAAGTATATCAGTTCTCATATTCGCATAGGAAAAGGCGACATAACTCAATAATGTAATGAATGCCTAAAATTAAGAAAAGTTACATAGTAATCTACTGGGCTACACACTAGAGGTAGGTATCTTGACAGATTCTGGAAATCCATGATTATTCATGTTACAGAAGAGGTAGTGTCACAGAGGTCTATAATGACATCTCTGAATTAAATTTAATTCAGGAAAGCAGAAAGGTTTGGATGTCAAAGTATGCTTCACAGAAACTTCTGTTTCTCTTTAGTTGGGCTCAGAGAGTCTCTAAATTAAATGTGTGTACAACTGTACTTCTATATACTACTAATGAACAAAATGAAATAAAATTAATAATCCTATCTACAATATCATCAAAAAGAATAAAATACTTACAAACACAAAAAGAAGTATAAAACTTGCATTCTGATAATTGTTGATTTAATGAAATCATTAATGTTGAAAGAAAGAAATTTTGAAAGACCCAAACCAGTAGAAAAAAAATCCTAAATTCATGGACTGGAAGGTTTAATATGATTAGGATGGTGATATTCTCCAGATTAATCTATAGATTCAATGCATTATTGAATTTTTGCCCTGTAAAAATTAACAAGCTTATCCTGTAATTCATACAGAAACCCAAGGAGTCAAACAGCCAAAACAATCATGACAGAGGAAGATGAAATTCAAGAGATTAGTATTAGCACTGGGGTGACTAACATGTTTTAAAACTGTTGGTGATGGGGCCAGCACTACAAGGCAGAGGATTAAGCCTCAACCTATAGCACTGGCATCCCATATGGGTGCCAGTGCGAGTCCCTGCTGCTCCACTTCTGATGCAGCTCACTACTTGGGAAAGCAGCAGAAGATGGTCCAAGTCCTTCGGCCTCTGCAACCATATGGAAGATCAAAAGAAGCTCCTGGCCTTTGGCTTTGGCCTGGCCCAGTGTTGGTCACTGTGGCCATTTGGGAAGTGAACCAGCAGATGGAAGCTTTCTCTCTCTTTTTCTCTAACTCTGCTTTCAAATAAATAAATCTTTAAAAAAATTCAAAAAATTGTGGTGATGAGTGTACAGTGCTGTGAGTACACTGAGAATTATACATTTTACATTAGTAAACCATATGGTATTTGAATTATACCTCAATAAAACTTAAAAAAATGAAAAGGCTATGAAAATTTAAATGCACACATGAATAACAACATAGAATTGTAAATTCAAGGTTGTATATGTTCTATCCTTCTATCCAAGTTACTTTTGGCTTTAAGTGATTAGAACAGAATGGGAGAAAATATTTGCAAACTATACAAATGATAAAGGACTAATATCCAGAATCTATAAAGAGCTCAAGAAACTTAACAACAACAAAACAAACAATCCAGTTAAGAAATGGGCAAAGGACTAAAACAGGCATTTTTCAAGAGAGGAAATTCAGGAAAAAAACGCTCAGGATCACTAGCCATCAGGGAAATGCAAATCAAAACCACAATGAGGTTTTACCTCACCCCAGTTACAATGGCTCTCATACAGAAACCAGTAAACAACAAATGCTAGCAAGGATGTAGGGGAAAAAAGGTACTCTAATCCACTGTTGGTGGAAATGTAAACTGTGAAAGACACTGTGAAAGACAGTATGGATATACCTCAGAATTCTGAATATAGACCCAGCACATGACCCAGCCATCCCACTCCGGGGGATTTACCTGAAGCAAATGAAATCAGCATTTGAAAGAATTATCTGTACCCCTATGTTTATTGCAGCTCAATTCACAATAGCTAAGATATGGAATCAACTCAAATGCCCAACAACCGAAGACTGGATAAAGAAATTATGGTATATATACACTATGGAATATCACACAATGGTTAAAAAAACAACAAAATTCTGCCATTTGCCACAAAAAGGATGCAAGTGGAAATTATTACACTTAGTGAAATAAGCCAGCCCCAAAAAGACAAATACCATGTATTCTTCCTCATTTGTGATAACTAATGGAGTACTCTATAGGAGTAAAATTGACTTTGAAATACAATGATTTTGAGCAGCCCCTGCCTCGACTACTGAGGAACAGTGTTTTTTTTTTTCTTGTTCTTCATACTGTTTATTGAACTCTTAACTTAGCATAAGGTTAATCTTATGAGTATAAAGTTAACTTAAAATAGATCTTTGTAAAAAACTAAGAATGGGAATAGAAAAAAAGGTGGGAGTGTGGGTGAGAGGGAGGAGAGGATGGGAAGAATCACTGTGTTCCTAAATTTGTATATCTGAAATGCATTAAGTTTCTATTCCTTAAATAAAAAAAAGACAGTAATTTTTCTCTGTAAGCTCTCCTTTTTTTAAAAAAAAAAAGATTTATTTATTTATTTGAAAGTCAGAGTTACATAGAGAATGAGAGGCAGAGAGAGAGGTCTTCCATCCGATGGTTCACTCCCCAGTTGGCTGTGCTGATCTGAAGCCAGGAGCCAGGAGTGTCTTCCGGGTCTCCCATGTGGGTGCAGGGGCCCAAGGACTTGGGACATCTTCCACTGCTTTCTCAGGACATAGCAGAGAGCTGGATTGGAAGTGGAGCAGCCGGGACCCAAACTGGCACCCATATGGGATGCCGGCACTGCAGGCAGTGGCTTTACCCGTTACACCACAGTGCCGGCCTCAGCTTTTAAGGTAGAAAAAAGTGCTTAATTGTCGCTCCCCGTCTTCATGGGGGAACGACACTAAACCCTGCCTAGGCTTCATATCCGAGTCACGGCACCATTATGTCGCTCCCCCTCCCCGTGGAGGAGCAACACAGGACCCTGCGCTGTTCTTTCGTCTGCTCGGCCCTCCCCGGGTTTGCTGCTGGTTCTTCCCGGGTTGGCTACTATCCCTTCCACCTCCGTGGAAGGGCGGTTCCCCCTGCCACATTCCCCACTTCCGCAGGGGACCGGCACACCGCCGGCCGGCTCTTCTCGGGGGCTGCACAGGTGTTCCCTTAGGTGTTCCCTTAGATGTTCCCCTTAGATGTTCCCTCGTGCATGCCGTCTCTCTCCTCCTTTATAGTCCTCCTCCGCCAATCCCAACTCGGCTGCCCACACGCCGAGTACGCTGCTCTCCAATCAGGAGCAAGTCCTACAGTTTATTAGCTGAACTGGAGGCAGCTGTGCGGAAGCTGTTTACTTCTCTCCCAGCGCCATATTGTGGGAGAGCAGATGCATAGAATAAGTCTTAATTCCAGTAACTCAGTCCAGTCCGAGCTGCTCCCCACACTTAATAATCTAAATATCAAGTCTATGAAGTCAATAATTTTGCATTCCCCAGAGTATTGAGTTTTTAAAATTCCGTAACAGATCAGGGCAGGTATTTAACCTAGTGGTTAAGACGCTTGTATTCCACGTTGGAATACCTGGGCTTGAGTCCTGACTTTGCTCCATATTCTTGCTTCCTGCTAATGGGCATCCTGGGAGGCCGCAGGTAATGGTACAGGCAGTTAGGTCCCTACCTCCCATGTGGGAGACCGAGATAGGGTTCCTGGCTTTAGTCTGTCCCAGCCACAGCGCTGTGGGCATCTGGGAAGTAAACCAGCAGGTGTGAGATCTCTCTTTCTCTGCCTTTCAAATAAACATAAATTTTAAAATTCAATTAAAAATCTGAAGTACCATCAGTAAAATAACTTATAAATGCAAAAACTTCACATACCAAAAGTTTATACTTTAAATACCATATGTATTTGAAATCCATACAAATATACAATAAGGGCAAGATATATATCTCTACACACAAACACACCTTGCCCCTCCTTGACACACCAGGCACACTCCCACTTCAGGGCACGTGTACTTGCTGTATCTTACTTCACTCAGATTCTCACCTAAACATCACTTCCTCTGGAAGTGCTTCTCTGACCACTCCTTCTAGGAGACCATATCCCATTACATGCTAACCCTTATTCTGTTTTATTTTTTTCATAGCATATATTATTATCAAACAGTATACTATCTCTATTTTCCCATTAGAATGTCTTATCTTTTGTTAATTACTGTATCCTTAGTGACAACACCAGTATCCAGCACTAGAATTATTATTTCATGTTTGTTGAATGAATGAACAAGGGTATTCTTAAACACTATTAAATCTCTTGGCTGAGCTACAGAAACAGCAGATTAATTTACACACCTTTCATTTCCTAATGGCTTTAAAAAACACATAATCTTTTAAACAAATTAGAATATAATACTAAAGGAAAATCCAAGAAGTTAAGTTACCTGTTCCCAACACTGGGGTAAAAGCTCAGCTTCCACACGTGTTGGTCCAACATGACGTGCAAATGCCACACACCCTGTCAGTATCATTTGCCTGAAAAATGACACAGACACAAAAAGACTTATATTTGCATTAGAAAGCATAGCAAGGGCTAAGGGTTAAGAAAAGTCAGCTCTGTAATTCATATAAAATACATTATTTTTGCACAAATTAGGACTTTGCAAAGTGAACTAGGATGTCACCAAGAGAGGAAGCTCCTTAAGTCTAGCTATTCAGACAATGGCAGCACTATTTGTGACAGTTTGTTAAAGGATTTCTGCTTGGTATGAAACTGGATTTCATATCTCTTAACTTTCTACATACACATTCTGATATTGTAATATGCTCAATGTTTTGGTTTCTACTCAACATCAGTTTCTAGCCACTAAAACAACCAGTGATTGTTTTCTTTGTATTTCTATAATCAAAAGCATTAGTAGGCTATTAGTAAAACTGTATTTGAAAATTTCAGAACGTGGATGTTTTATCCCAGGTAACTATGGAGGTAGTTTCTGAAATGCCTCCCAGTGATCCCATCTTCTGATAGTTCAGTCCTTGTGTAGTCCCAGTCCCTTGAGGTTACATTGTACCTAATCTAATGTTTTGTTTCTTTTTTCTTTTTCTTTTCTTTCTTTTCTTTTCTTTTTTTTTTTTTTTTTTTTTTTGACAGGCAGAGTGGACAGTGAGAGAGACAGAGAGAAAGGTCTTCCTTTTTCCGTTGGTTCACCCCACAATGGCCGCCACGGCCGGCGCACTGCACTGATCTGAAGCCAGGAGCCAGGAGCTTCTTCTTGGTCTCCCACGCGGGTGCAGGGCCTAAGTACTGGGCCATCCTCAACTGCCCTCCCAGGCCACAGCAGAGAGCTGGTCTGGAAGAGGAGTAACCGGGACAGAATCCGGCACCCTGACTGGGACTAGAATCTGGAGTGCCCGCGCCGCAGGCGGAAGATTAGCCTAGTGAGCCGCGGCGCCGGCCTCTAATGTCTTGTTTCTAATGGACAGAGTATGTCCAAAGTAATGGGACACCACTTTTAAGATTAGATTACAAATGTATGATGTCCACTTTGTTGGACTCCACTGCTTTCTCAGCTAGCATGTTTTGATAAAGCAAGCTGTGCTGTTAGTGAGGTTCATGTGACAAGGAATTAAAGGTGGTTTCTGGCCAAAACCAGTGAGGAACTGAGACCTTCAGTCCACAATCCATGAGGACTGACTCCTAAAAAGGATCAACCACATGACTGAGATTAGAGGCAAATCTCATCCCCCAGCTGAGCCTTGAGATGACCATAACCGTAGCAGACTCCTTGACTAAAGCCATGAAAGGGACTCTAGGGGCCGGCGCTGTGGCACAGTTGGTTAACACCTTGGCCTGAAGTGCCGGTATCCCACATGGGCACTGATTCAAGACCCGGCTGCTCCTCTTCCGATGCAGCTCTCTGCTATGGCCTGGGAAAGCAGTAGAAGATGGCCCAGGTCCTTGGGCTCCTGCCCTCGTGTGGGAGACCTGGAGGAGGCTCCTGACTCTTGGCTTCGGATGGGCACAGCTCCGGCCGTTGTGGCCAATTGGGGAGTGAACCATCGGATGGAAGACCTCTCCCTCTCCTCTCTGTGTAACTCTGACTTTCAAATAAATAAATAAATCTTTAAAAAAAAAAAAAAAGAAAGGGACTCTGAAAGCAGAGGACGCAGATTCCTAGTTCATAGAAACTGCTAAGGTAAAATGCATTATTTTAAACCACTTACTTCTGAGATACTTTTAGAACAGTTAATAATATAATACCTTCATCTGAATAGACTTGTAACTGTAGTAACTAATATAATACCTTCATCTTAGTACACTAATAACCTAAAAATAGCATAAAGTGTTAAATAAGATTTTTCATCTTCAGAATGAAGTTCCATTTCAAATAATTATAAAATGCAGAATTTTAACTTCTACTTTTGACTAATTATTTATTTATTTATTTATTTATTTTGACAGGCAGAGTTAGACAGTGAGAAAGAGAGAGAGAGAGAGAGAGAGAGAGAGAGAGAGAGAGAGAAAGGTCTTCCTTTTCCGTTGCTTCACTCCCCAAATGGCCGCTACAGCCGGCGTGCAGTGCAGATCCGAAGCCAGGAGCCAGGAGCTTCTTCCTGGTCTCCCACGCGGGTGCAGGGCCCAAGCACTTGGGCCATCCTCCACTGCCTTCCCGGGCCACAGCAGAGAGCTGGACTGGAAGAGGAGCAACCGGGACAGAATCCGGCGCCCCGAACGGGACTAGAATCTGGGGTGCCGGCGCCGCAGACGGAGGATTAGCCAAGTGAGCCTTGACTAATACTTTAAAACAGAAAAATTTCATGGGAAAAGAAGTATGCTTTAACACTTGTTGTAAAATAATCAGTATCAAAGAAAACCAAAACAGAATGCTTATTTAATTCATAGTAATTATAAAATCAGTGCTTTCAGTGTAGGCACTGCTCATTGCTATTTCTCAATATATGTAAATTTAAATTAACTGCAAAATGACTTAGCTTTTCATGTTTGCAGGATTAGTTCTTACTGTGCTCTTAGACTGAGGAGAATAATGACAAAGATTGTTGGACAATATTGGAGGAAGTGCTAGGACAACGTGTCTTCACAGTACCGTGCAGTAGCTTCTTTTTTTTTATTTTTTATTTTTTTATTTTTTTGACATTTTTTTGGACAGTGAGAGAGAGAGACAGAGAGAAAGGTCTTCCTTTGCCATTGGTTCACCCTCCAATGGCCGCCGCAGCCAGTGCGCTGCAGCGCACCGTGCTGATCCGATGGCAGGAGCCAGGTACTTCTCCTGGTCTCCCATGGGGTGCAGGGCCCAAGCACTTGGGCCATCCTCCACTGCACTCCCTGGCCACAGCAGAGAGTTGGCCTGGAAGAGGGGCAACCGGGACAGAATCCGGCGCCCCGACCGGGACTAGAACCTGGTGTGCCGGCGCCGCAAGGCGAAGGATTAGCCTAGTGAGCTGCGGCGCCGGCCGCAGTAGCTTTTTATTCACCACAATCTTTGTAATTTATATCTACTTTTGTGCCATCATTCTTTGTGTCCATGTCTCAAATTTTTTGTTTTTCTATTTCCTTCTACTTTACGAAGACAAATAAATGAAAGCAAATAAAAAATAAATGAAAATTCCCAAGTCACTTTAGCTGCCTGTTTTCTACTGAAAATTTCTGAATATCTACAATATTTTTGTGTCCACTAAATATATGCATGTATATACATGATCCATAAATATTTGCTAATTGTAATAACTGAATTTTTAAAAATATAAGCATTTTTGGGGCCAGCACTGTGGCGTAGCGGCTAAAGCCACCGCTTGTGGTGCCAGCATCCCATATGGGCGCTGGTTCGAGACTGGCTGCTCTACTTCTGATCCAGCTCTCTGCTATGGCCTGGGAAAGCAGCAGAAGATGGCCCAAGTCCTTGGGCCCCTGCACCCATGTGGGAGACCCAGAAGAAGCTCCTGGCTCCTGGCTTTGGATTGGCGCAGCTACGGCTGTTGCGGCCACCTAGGGAATGAACCAATGGATGGAAGACCTCTCTTTCTCTCCGCCTCTCCTTTCTCTGTGTAACTGTGACTTTCAAGTAAAATAAATAAATAAAAACCAATAAGCATTTGAACTTATAAGAGATACACACTTGTACAGAACTTCCTATGAAAAGGATTAAAACCACCAAAGACCACCACTACACTGAAAAAAATGTACAAGTTCAACAGGGAAAAATGTTAGGTCCCTCAAATCAAGCAAAGTTAATATTCAAAATACTATAAAACATGACAATGTAGAAATGCAATTCAAAACAATAAAGTTCAGATGACCTACAGGTTATTAACAGTACTGGAAATAGACTCCTATGGTAGTAAAACTAAATTTTACTATTTGTGGGAAATCACAGGACAGGGGTTATTTGATTACTAACTGGCTCAGGTAGGCAAATAAATAAGTGTCAAATAATATGATGTCAGTGATGGTTTCTAGTAAAGAACTGACAAAAGTATCAAAATTACATTTTCTTGGGAATACCATCAAAGAAGCCCTGAGATTCAATAAGAAACAATAATAACTGATTGTCAAACGTATTCTGCCAATTTAAACATTCATTTTGTTCATTTATTTAAACTATGTAAAGTATCATTAATCAGTGCATTATTCCATTTCATAAATAAATGTACCTTTATAAGGTGCAATTAGATTTAAGTGTGGACTTAAGTGTTTAATTTCTGATGTATTGACCTGAAGTTAAGGCAAATGGGTATCTTTGGCCACTAGGTGGCAGCTATTAGCTTTACATGTACCATATTGTGTAAAGAGGCTCTAAGACTTTTTTTTAAATATATATTCTAGATTTAAGTTTCTTGTGAAATTATGCATATTGTGAATATACATATACTGAATTTGAAAGTTAGAGAAAGGTTCACCCATCCACTGGCTTACTCCCAAACACCCACTAGGGCTGGGGTAAGTTGAAGTCATGAGCCAGGAATCAATCCAACTCTCCCATGTGGGTGGCAGGGACCCAAGCGTTGGAGCCATCACCCAGGGTGAGCATCAGCAGGAAGCTGAAATGGAAAGCGGAGCTAGGATTCGAAAGCAGGCACTTCAATATGGAATGTGGGCCTCCCAAGTGTCGGCCAAATCACTGTGCCAAATGCCCACCCTGATGCTTGAGGTATTTTACTTTGCAAATTTGAAAATAGAAGTATAATAAACGGTATTTCATTAAGCTGCTACAATAGGGAATGGTTAATTTCCAAGGAGAAAAATAAAACACTAATTTCCCTACACAACACCACCAAATTGTCCTTAGAAAATTCTCAGTTTGCAATGAATATACTAATACAGTGGTTTAACTGCTCTTCCTCCTACTTGACTAGCATGTAGGGACTGCCAGTGATTAACTTTTGCTGAGTCCTCAAAAGGGAAGGTTTTTCCATTTGTTCAGCTGTTTTCTAGACACTTTATAATTTATCTGTTCCACGCACAAGGTTCCTGTTGAGACCCTCAGCATGTCTGCTCCCCCACCCCATACTGATGATTTAGGAATAATCTAATCGTTAACTGCTGGAGGCCTCTTCACTGCTAGAAATAAAAGTGTATTAAAGACAAAGCTTTCAGATTAAAAATGACTATCCTATAATTCTCAGAAGAGAATAACGTCTACTTTTAAAAGAATTAAAATTTAGTATCACTTTAATGTGAATGAGTACTTCAAAAAACACGATAATTTAAATAAGATCCTTCAGTACCTATATCTGTCTAACAAATGCAAAAAATGATTAACACTGTGAGGAAAAGATTAAAGTTTCCTTTCTTAAATATTTAAAAAATGAAAGTTGCTTGTTTATTACAGTAGGTAATAAGTACTCTGATCTCAGTAGAATCTGTACAAATTTTTATCAAAAATTTATTTCTGTACATATTTATAAAAGCTGTTTTTATTTTGTTTTATTTATTATTTATAGGCTAAATTTTCCCAAGCAATTTCCCTGTGATGTGTTTACTTATCTGAGTAAATGTGAGGAAGAAAGGGAACTTGAATACAACACTGAAGTTTCATATATATATTTCCCAGATTTTGAAAGCATCAGGGAATAATACTATGATGGTGGAAAGCTCCAGTGCTACTACAACATATATGGGGATTGATGCCAATTAGTAGACTTAATAAATTCACATTGTATGTATTTCCCAAAGACAGGTTAGCACCAACCTTTGCTCATCATCTGGCCTTTTGATCAAATTGAAAAGTATGTGGAGAAGCTGGTCTCTCTCTTTAGGCTCAGGATGCAGGCATGCTGTACACAGTATGAGTGGGATCAGTTCCTAGAGAAATATGAGTGGAAATGAAAATAAGAATACATTGTAGAATATTATTTCTCCTCCCCAGAAAATTCTTAAATGGACATTTAAAGTGAATTAAACTTCACACAAAAGAATGAACTTTACGTTTATAAGACTGGCAATTCAAGAAAAAAACATCAAAATGTATTTGTTGGTTGTGCAGAAGGGATAAATCACAATGCAATAAAAGTCATTTAAGATTCAACTAACCTTTTTTTTAATCCAGCACTTCCCAAGGGTCTACCAGCTTTTACGCTAAACAACATTCCATCACGTGACAAGCTGATAGAGTAATTCTCATTTTGAAAGTATTCTTAAATAAAATTTACAGTTCACTTTACTTTAAAACTTACAAAAAATAACAGAAAATAAAGGAAGTTCTGAACACTTCCACTAGGATATTACCTCTTCCTTATGATTAGATATAATCTAATAAATTTTCACTCTTAACACCAAACCCTGCAGCTAATTAAAAAGAAAGCCATGTCCATGGGTGCTCAATCCTCTCAGAACTAGTCCTGCATACCAGCTATCAGGAGAAATACTTGATGTTGAAATGCAAATTTTAAATAATATGTTGTTGTTGCATATCAACACACCGAGATGAATTCAACATTTTATAGGAAAGTAACAGCCAAAAGTTTATTTCTCTCTTCCAAAGCAATATTCAAAATTAAAGCTGTTAACACAAAATTCTTAAATGCTAAATATATGAAAAATATAGCTTTCATTTTGGAATGGATTTTTAAATCCAATAAATCAAAATTCAAATGACACATTATTTCTGGAGAAAAATCTTATAAACACAATGTTTTGTGGATAATTTAAAGAAACCACTACAGGGCTGACGCTGTGGTATAGTAGGTTAAGTCTCTGCCTATAGTGCTGGCATCCTATATGGGCAAAGGTTTGAGTCTTGGCTGTTCCACTTCTGATCCAGCTCTCTGCTGATAGTCTGGAAAAGTAGGAGAGGATGGCCTAAGTGCCTGGGCCCCTGTACCCATGTGTGACACCTGAAGGAAGCTTCTGGCTCCTGGCTTCGGACTGGCCCAACTCTGGCACTGCAGCCATTTGAAAGTGAACAAGCCAATGGAAGCTCTCTCTCCCTATCTCTCCCTCTTTCTGTCTTTAACTCTTGCCTCTCAAATAAATAAATCAATCTTAAAAAAAAAAAAGGAAATCACAATGATGTAATAAGAGAAGAAAACTGATTATCCTATTTCTCTTTCCTATCTACATTGGTACTCACCAAAAGGTACTAAAAGAATTGATGTATTATATAATATATATTTATATTAATAATTTATATTATATATAATAATACCCTCACAATCTGAAGAAAGCAAACAGAAGAAAAGTATGATAAAATCCACACTGTTGGACTTTTAAAGATATTTGTATCCAAACAGATGATAACATTTTTAGAGAAGTTGAGACTTACGTTTAAGATATGACTAATATGCCAGCATCCCTGGCTAGAGTCCTGGCTCCTACACTGTGGATTCAGTTTGTTGCTAATGCATCTGGGAAAGCAGTGGTTAATGGCCATGCACTTGGGTCACTGCCACATATACAGGAGAGCTGGATGAATTATAGGCTTTTGGATTCAGCCTGGCCTAGCCTTGGTTGGTGTGGGCATTTCGGGAGTGAATCAGCTGATGGAAGATCTTTTTCTCGCTCAACCCCTGTGTCACTCTGCCTTTCAAATCAATGAATCTTAAAAAACTATACATACATTCTCTGTATATTATCAGAGATACCTGCTTTACATCTTAAAATTATAAGTACAAAAATGTAGATAAAAGAAAAGTATGAGAAGCAAAAAAATATTTTAAAGCATTTATTCTTCATTTACAATCTTCCTATTTGGAAGCCTCTGAAGGTTTCAGAACATTAATTCCAAGGACTTTTCTAATCCACAGTTGATTCCATTTAGGCTAGTGAGAGCAAACAAGAGGACCAAGACACTGCATTATCAGGGTATATTATGGTTAATAGAGCCATAAGGTGAAAAGTAGCTATTCTGGAAGCACTAACAAAACGGAAAACTATTCTAATGTCTGAAAATCAAGAAAGGCCCTATACTTTTATTTCTACTTTCTCTTCAGGTGAGATCTTTCTCTCTTGAGTGTATTCTTGCTGCCAACTAATCCCCATTCCTGCTTTCCAATTGTCTCTTCATGTGTACTTCATCTATTTTTCCATTCTCTTCCTGGTCTATTGTTCTTTAAAGTTGTGAAATGAAGATAAGGTATTTATTATAATTGGAAACACAGAAATGAAACTTAAAATATGGAGTATAATCTTTGGCTTCTTTCTCTCAAAACAAGCAAATCAAAATAACTAACTGTATTCATATTTATTCTTTATGCCTCAAATTTTCTTTTCTTCTTTCTTTTTTTAACCATATAGTTTAGAGATCCTTAACTGAAGAGGAAGTTTATTTTATACACTAATGTAGAGAACCTGATAACTGGAGTATGGCTACAAATGTGGACAGGGAGCTGGGATAATTCCTGTCTTAACTCCTCAGTATGACTAAAGAATACAAGGAAAGGAAGCATGTAGGAATTAAGATTCATGCAGAAATGGAAAATGTTTCACATATATTCTATAACTTCCTTATCTATTACTGTTATTTTTTCCTTCTGACATCAAGTTGGCTTCAAAAACACTTTCAACACAGCACTTACCAAAGGACTTCTCAACAGAGCAGCAATTACCAATTAATCCAAACTGACACATGACAGGAAAGGCAGTTGTAAATTCATATCCCATTGAACTTTAAAATTTGTGAATTTAGAGCTTTGAAGAAAGATATTTTCCAGCTTTTTATAAAACAGTAATAATTTATGCTGCTAATTGCTTTTATTTCTTGTTGGCAAAATTACAACATATGGAAGTCACTATCAATAATTTTTGCTTCATAGTCCTCTTACATCAACAGACAGCTGAGAACAAGTCCAGCAAATAAAGATAGAAAAATGTGTCAATAGTGGTCTGTTTCTGACTGAGCCAGCAACAAACATTATAATAATCTTAATGGCTAGATTAGGACTGGTCAGGAATATCCTATTTCTCCATCACTAGTTTATTTACTTACAACTTCTATTTGTAACACTCTTGAAATATGAATTATGATAAGCATGTATTTGTTATTTATTCACAATCATAGATTGTAATTCATTGCTTTCAAGCTTCTGAAGCACTAATACATCCATACCAGAAATTACTAAGTCTCTATCTTTCATTTTCACATTATTCATAAATAGCCATGAATCAATATTTTTCCTTTGGCTTCACCCCTCCAATTGAAGAAGTCTAACATTTTAAAAACATTCCTTATAATTCCGAATGCAACATTTGAAAACTAGTGGCGGCTGGCGCCGCGGCTCACTAGGCTAATCCTCTGCCTTGAGGCGCCGGCACCCTCGATTCTAGTCCCGGTTGGGGCGCCGGATTCTGTCCCGGTTGCCCCTCTTCCAGGCCAGCTCTCTGCTGTGGCCAGGGAGTGCAGTGGAGGATGGCCCAAGTCCTTGGGCCCTGCACCCCATGGGAGACCAGGAGAAGCACCTGGCTCCTGCCATCAGATCAGCGTGGTGCGCTGGCCGCAGCGCGCCGGCCGCGGTGGCCATTGGAGGGTGAACCAATGGCAAAGGAAGACCTTTCTCTCTGTCTCTCTCTTTCACTGTCCACTCTGCCTGTCTAAATAAATAAATAAATAAATAAATAAGAAAACTAGTGGCTGGGCTAGCATTGTGGGGTGATGGGTTAAGTCACTGCTTGTGATGCCAGCAATCTGTATTGGATGGCCAGCTGGAGTCTCAGCTGCTCCACTTCCAATCCAGTTTTCTTTCTCTCTCTTTCTTTCTTTCTCTCTCTCTCTCTCTCTCTCTCTCGACAGTCAGAGTGGACAGTGAGAGAGAGAGAGACAGAGAGAAAGGTCTTCCTTTTGCCGTTGGTTCACCCTCCAGTGGCCACCGCGGCCGGCGCACCTCACTGATCCGAAGCCAGGAGCCAGGTGCTTTTCCTGGTCTCCCATGGGGTGCAGGGCCTAAGCACTTGGGCCATCCTCCACTGCAGTCCCTGGCCACAGCAGAGAGCTGCCCTGGAAGAGGGGCAGCCGGGACAGAATCCGGCGCCCCGACCGGGACTAGAACCCGCTGTGCCGGCGCCGAAAGGCGGAGGATTAGCCTAATGAGCCGCGGCGCCAGCCTCCAATCCAGTTTTCTGCTAATGCACCTACAAAGGCAGAAGATGATGACCCAAGAACCATCAGATGCAGATTGAGTTCCTGGCTCCTGACATTAGCCGGCACCATCTTGGTTGCTGTGGCCATATGGGGAGCAAATAAAAGATACCTCTCTCTGTTATTTTTGCTTTTGCAAATAAATAAACAAATAAATCTTTTTAAAAATGGTGGCTAAAATTATTTTAGCATATAAGGTGATAGCGTTTAAAAAAGTCTTGGGGGGGCAGGCGCTGCAGTGTAGCGGGTAATGCCGCCGCATGCTGGCATCCCATATGGGCGCTGGTTCGTGTCCCAGCTGCTCCATTTCCAATCCAGCTCTCTGCTATGGCCTGGGAAAGCAGTAGAAGATGACTCAAGTTCTTGGGCCCCTGCACTCGTGCGGGAGGCCTGGAAAAAGCTCCTGGCTTCAGATCAGTGCAGCTCTGGCCGTCGTGGCCTAATGGGGAGTGAACCAGAGGATGGAAGACACCTCTCTCTCTCTCTCTCTCTCTGCCTCTCTCTTTGTAACTCTGACTTTCAAATAAATAAATAAATCTTAAAAAAAAATCTTTTGGCAACCTGGATAGCATTTAATAATGTGTACTGAATGAAATCTAAAACTGATTACCTATGACCCTTTAGAGAGGAAATCAGTGTAGTAATTCTATTACAGAACTTCTAAGACTTTTAGAATTCATTTATTGAAAAGAATTAGTATTTTATACCTTATTCAAGTCAAAAACATTTGCTT